TATGGCAAAAACCTCTCCAAAAAAAAAAAAAAAAAAGATGCATCCTTGAGAATTAAGATTTCTTAAAGTCACGATTTTTACTGCTTTATTAAGGACCATCATGGGTGATAAAGCTTTTTTAAAATGTTATTTTTTATTGTTTTTTTCTAAGGCTACCTACCAGGACTACGACTGCTCGTAAGGTTTGGTACCACCGTTGCCTCGCCTGTGCTAAGGCAGTAGCGGTCTTGCTCACTATTGCTTTGAATGTTTTAGTGAAAAAGTCAGGTACTATCAGAGTATTGCTATGAAAACAGTTTTAACCATGTGGACTTATTAGAAGGGTCTAGGAGGGCCCCAGGGTTCCACAGACCACGCAGAGAACCTGTGCTGTAGCTAAGCAGTAGTTAGAAACCCGTAGGCTGTATAGTATGGTGGCTAAGCTCCTCCTTAAACGTCCTGGATTCACAATCCGGCCTCCCTTAATCTGTCATGTGATGCGGATCATGTTACTAACCCCCCGGCAGCTCAGTTTCTTACCAGTAATCGATGGTCACAAGAGAGCCCACCAGAATGTTGCTCTGAGGTTTAACTTAGTTAAATCATGTAAAACACCTTGAGCAGGTGGCACATGTTAAACCTTCAGCAAATGTTAGCTGCTGTTGCTATTGTTATTTTTATTAATGTGCTCTTTCTTATAAAAGTGCTTGTGGGTAGCACCCCCAGCCATTCCTTCCTCATACCCCTTAAAAACTCGGTGCTTTGTTTTTGTATAGCGAGACTTCATTCAGCATTTGTTAATATGGGAGAAATATATAGTTAGTTATTGATACATAAGTGATTTTATGTAAATACATGCTTCTCAAGTATGTAGTTTTAAAAATTCTTTTAAATGGAATGGTTTCCTTTTAAAACTTGGTTTATAGGGCCGCAGGTGGCATAGTGCTTAAGATGCTGGACTCCTGGGGCTGGCGGGTGGTGTGGTGGTTAAAGGCACTGGACTCCCACATGGCTGACCACGGTTTGAGTCCCAGACCTGGCAGCTTGCTTTCTCACTCACCCCCTCCCCACACATAAACACACTCTGTCCCTCTCGGATCAAATTAAAATAAATAAATAAGCTGGACTCCTGCATGACTGACCATGGTTCGAGTTCCAGACCTGGTGGTTTGAAAATCACGCTGAGCACGTGTGCACGTGTGCTCCAAATCCCAGGAGAAAGGAGGAGAAGGACTGCAGCATGGCCGTCGCCCGGGGTGATTTCTCACTCTCCCTCTCACTGTCTGTCTGTCTCTCTCTGTTGAGCACATGTGTCCTATGCAAACACCTTGAAACAGAAAAAACAAAAGCCACTTGGTTTATATTATGTTCATCTTCTTTTTCAATGGAGAAAGGATTTACCAAACAAAGCCCAAATTAGTGTATTCTGGGTTATTTGTAGTCAGATGAATGGTATCTTTAATATGATTTTGTAAAGGGCTTTCAGAATGGTTTAATTGCATGGTTTTACCTTATTCACATTCATCACAATTTATCTATTCTATTTAATTAATTAATTAATTTTTTTGGAGAGGTGTTTTTTTGGGGGAAAGGTTTATGCTATAGGGTGTGTGTGCTCGACAGAAAGAGAGAGACAGAGAGAAAACAAGAAATCATCCCCCAGGAGGAATGGCCACACTGCAATCTCTTCTCTTCCATTCTCCTCTTGGGATCTTGGGCACGCACGCACACGTGTTGGGTGCAAGTTTAAGCCACCAAGTCCAGGACTTGAACCAGTTTTTTTTGGGGAAAGGTTTATGCTATAGGGTGTGTGTGCTCGACAGAAAGAGAGAGACAGAGAGAAAACAAGAAATCATCCCCCAGGAGGAATGGCCACACTGCAATCTCTTCTCTTCCATTCTCCTCTTGGGATCTTGGGCACGCACGCACACGTGTTGGGTGCAAGTTTAAGCCACCAAGTCCAGGACTTGAACCATGATTGACTACATGGGAGTCCAGCGACATAGTCGTTATGTCAAATGCTGGTCCCGATATTTGTAGTATTTATTTGTCTTATATTTATTAGCATTTTCCCTAAGCCCCATTGACACGTAAAAATAAAACGCAAGAATGAACCTATGCTCAAAAAATTATTTCTTCTTTGGGACCAGCAGTTAGTGTAATGGCTATGTCATTGGACTCCCACGTAGTCAACTGTGGTTCAAGTCTCGGATCTGGTGGCTTAAACTCATGCCGGGTGCGTGTGTGCCCAAGATCCAGAGAGGAGAATGGAAGAGAAGGGACTGTGGCGTGGCCATCCCCCCTGGGGGGTGATTTCTCACTTTCTGTCTCTCTGGCTCTCCCTGTCTTCCTGGCGCTCGCACCCTATAGCAAAAACCTCTCCAAAAAAAAAAAATTCTTCTTTTAAAAAAATGTGCCCAAGGACATTCTTGCTTGCTGGAGACAGAGCGGGTAAGTGAGAGAGCCTCTCCCCAAGGTGATTATGCTGCCACCCCTTCTTGTCCTTTTGAGGTTTTGGCACACACACACGCCCCTCTGTATGTTTTTCTTTTTCTTTTTCTTTTTCTTTTTGAGATTTTTGCTATAGGGTGCATGTGCTTGCCAGAGAGACAGAAAGTGAGAAATTATCTCCCAGGAGGGATGGCTACACCACAGTCCCTTCCCCTCCGTTTTCCTCTTGGGATTTTGGGCACACATGCATATGCACCTGGCTTGAGTTTCAAGCCACCAGGTCTGGGACTCGAACTGTGGTTGGTCACTTGGGATTCCAGTGCTTTAGCCACTGTGCTACCTGCTAGCGCTTTAACCACTATGATATTCACGAGTTGCCGGGTCCAGGACTCAAACTGTGCAGTCGGCCATGTAGGACTCCGCCACCATAAGCACCGTGCCACTGGCTGTCACGCAGATGATTTCTTGACTCACTTTTGACAGAGCAGGGACTGTGTAATGGCTTTAGTTGGCAGTGAGTCTGTTCTAAGATGTGTTACACCTTCAGCTACTCTGCTAAGGAGCAAGGGATTCTGGTGGTCTAGGGGGGTCAAATGGATGTTTTCTGAAATCACAACTGAAATAGCTGAGTTGCTGAGAACGTAACATGAGCGGGAAAAGAATGATGAATCTAGTCTTGGAGATGGGAAGAGAAGGAAGAGAAACGGCTGAGTCATTGTCGCAGTGTTACCTTTTCTCTTCCTTCCCCTACTCTGTTCCTTTAAAAAAAATCCCTACCATCGTCCCTCTTTCTATTCTTTTCCTTTCTACTCCCTTTCCCCTTTTAAGCCTTCTCCTCTTTCTCTCTTTTGTTTCTTTTTCTTTTTACTTTTTTGCTATAGGGTGCATATACTCACTGGAGAGATACAGAGACACTGAGACGGAAAGTGAGAAGTCGCCCCCTGGGAGGATGGCCACTCCGCAATCCCTTCCCCTCCCCTCTCCTCCTGGGATTTTGGGCACGCTTGGGTATGCACCCAGCATACTTTTCAAGCTGCCTGGTCCAGGACTTGAACCGTGGTCAGCAATGTGGGAGCCCAGCACCTTACCCTCCATGCCACCTGCTGGCCCTTTATTTCTTTTTCTTTAGCAGTGGAGGAACAGGGAAGTGTTCCCTATTCAGAGTTTTACTGGGTACCACAGGAACCGTTCCCTGTTCAGTGTTCGAGTGTTCAGAGTGGGAAACAGCAGTTGCGTAATGGCTATGTCGCTGGACTCCCACGTAGAGTTGACCGCAATTCACGTCCCAGACCCAGTGGCTTAAAACTCACGCCGGGCGCGTGTGCGTATGTGCCCAAGATCCCAAGAGGAGAATGGAGGAGAAGGGAGGTGATTTCTCGCTTTCTGTCTCTATGTCTCTCTCTCTCTGGTGAGCGCACACGTCCTATAGTGAAAATCTCTAAAAAAAAAAAAAAAAAAAAAAAAAAAGAAAACATTAAAAAAAAAAAAGAAAGAAAGAAAGAAAGAAAGAAAGAAAACCCCTACATGGGCATAGTTTAATCCGCAGGTGCCTATGCCTGCTCCCTCAGAAACAGGGGCGTCCAAGAGCGTAACTTAAGTACACCTTTATCCTGCTTGGCGTTTTAGAGAAACCAGTCCTTTGGGAAGCAATTCTGAGACTCATTTCCTTTAATACTTTTTTTTTTTTTTTTAAGCTTTCTGCCATAGGCCATGCTCACTCAACAGGGAGACAGAGAGAGGGAAAGTAAGAAATCATCCCCCAGGAGAATGGCCACATTGCAGTCCCTTCTCCTCCAGTCTCCTCTTGGGATTTTGGGCACGCTTACACACGTGCCCAGTGTGAGTTTGAAGCTGCTGGGTCTGGAACTTGAACTATGGTTGACTGTGTGGAGTCCAGCGACATAGCCATTATGATATCTGCTAGTCCCGAACTGAAATATCGTAAATGAATGGAGAAGTACAGAGAATAAATAGGATTTCTATCATGGCAGAAAGTGACTACTCTAATTACTCACTCCTTTGTATTTCTGCAATGGAACTTTATAGCATTTTCATTATAAATATAGCTGTGCACATTATTGTATAAACCTTTGAAAACCTTTCTTACATTCCCCCTCCTTTTGGACAGAAATAAACCCTTTCAGGGATTACCAAGTAAAATGATAAAATATTAGAACTAGAAAAGTCCTAACTATTAATAGTCCACATTTTTCCCAGAAATTTGTTGACCATAAAGTACAAAAACACTTTAACCTGTTTTCCACTTCTTTAGCTAACTACCCCCACATTTATGGAAAGGTCCGGAACTGGAGTAGGAGAGAGATGAGGAATCCGTGGGGGTGTGAGCACCTCTCCTCCTCCCAGATGACTGTCAGGGACATATTTTAGAAGCAAGACAGCAATTCTCAGGCTGCCCTTTTTCATATCTGTTTATCTTTATTACATTTAACATCTTTAAAGACCGGGTTATTCAGCTTCTCTTTTTTGTGAATACTTCAACGTGTAAATCTTCCATTGTCCTTAGGATTCAAAAATTTCCTCTATGGAGCGTGGTCTGCGAGACCTGGAAGAGGAAATTCAGATGCTGAAATCCAACGGGGCTTTGAGCACTGAAGAACGGGAGGAGGAAATGAAGCAAATGGAGGTGTACCGAAGCCATTCTAAGTTTATGAAAAACAAGGTAATGGTGGGCCCTACCGTACTTCTTAAGAGGGGCTTGAAAAATCGACGTGATTAAGGATCTGCTTCGCACTGTTTTCTCAGGCTTGAGGGCAGAGTGCTTTTCGGTGTAGTTCTTCCCATGGACCTTGCCCTTAATTGAAGTCAGAATTGCTGGCACCGTGTGGTTACTAGACATTTGTACTTAAAAGAAAATCGCCCAAAGGGAGCTAAGTATACACCGTCACAGTTAGTTTTTCATTGCTGTCGGCACTTCTGAGGTGACTTAGTAGAATTCTATGCAGATGAGTTTTCTCACTCAATGAGACGTTACATTTCTTATATCTTAAGTATTTAAAAGTGAAAACCCAGTGAGGCTGAATCCTGCCTCATCCCCCTTTCTTCCAAACTAGGTTAAATGAAATTGTGTCTCCCCTTCAGATAGAGTGCCATAAAGAGAACCCCGCGATCTCTCCCTTAGGAAGACCTATTTGCTCCTGAGTTTCTTACTTCCCAAGTGAACTTTAGCCATACTTACAGCGAGACGGTGCCACGGGCCACATCAGACTGCGTGGAATCAGCCACCATATTCCTTCCTAGGCTTCTCAGTCCTGCAGTTCGGGTCCATAAGCAAGGCAAACTGGAGGATTTAATTTATGCGGTTACCAGTTTATCACTTTTGTTGAGGTTTAATTAAAAGCCATAATTATAATTATAAAATGTTAACCAGAAGATACATGTTTCCCACTTCTGTGTCCCAATTGTATGCTCTAGTTTGTCCGAACTTAAAACCAAAACAATCCACATAGAGTAAAAGAATGACATAGTCGACTCCCTCCCCAGCTTCGGGTGTCCTGCTGGAGTACCCATACCTGGCCTGTAAGTCTGTAGAACTTTGAGAGTCTGTTATTGGGGCCAGCAGGTGGAATAGTGGTTACGACTCCGGACTCCCATCTTGCTGACCGTGGTTCGAGTCCCAGCCTGGTGGCTTGAATTTCACACCAGGTGCATGTGTGTGTGCCCAGAGTCCCAGGAAGAGGGTGGAGAAGGGATTGTAGCGCGATCACCCCCTCCCGTGGGTGATGTCTCACTTTCCCTCTCATTTGGTGAGCGCACGTTCACTTTGACGAAAACCTTAACAGAATCATATCAGCGATTTTTGCTAATTTCATGTTAAGTTCAGACCTCAGACAGCCGCGTGTCACTTTCTGCTGGTCGGGGTGTTGCCCCTAGTTTGAGAGTGCAGTGCACGGCAGCATGACCTCTGCTCGCGTGCCCCATGTGTGGATCGCACATTCTAGTCTGTCTCAGAAAGCCCCATGGACGTAGACACACCCACGGCCCAGTGCAGAGGGCGTCGGGGACAGCGCTGATTATGTTACTAAGCTATCAGTGGTTACCGCTGTAGCTCGAGAGCAGCTGAGACGTAAGTGTACACCCAAGTGAGAAGAATAACAATGTCGTGACAGGTAGAGCAACTGAAGGAGGAGCTAAGTTCCAAAGAGGCTCAAGGGGAGGAGCTGAAAAAGAGAGCGGCTGGTCTTCAGGCTGAGGTCTTTGCCGTAAGATTCCCTCCGCGTTCGGCTCCCACAGTGGGACCGCAGTCTGGCCCCGGGGTGGCTTACGCTTCCATTCTCCATGGTTGGCAGCTTTGCCCGTGGGAGCACTAACCAGCCTGCTCTGCTCTTACCCGGCTCTGCTCAGCAGCCTGACCCACACGTCCCTTGGTGTGCAGTGGGCCCTCGCGTGCTCTGGCAGCCTTACACCTGGCCCTTCACTGTGGCTTCTGTGCTCTGTGGAGGGGACTTCCAAGCTTGCTTTTTCTTACCTCTTACTGATGCTCGTGGATCTGTATGAGTGATCTTTTAGTGACGTGTTCGTTTTTATTAATGGTGGCATTTTCCCCCTCAGGCACATATTCCAGGCCTGTCGCTTAGAGTTTATTTGAATTTGGAATTCTTGAGTAAAGTGCTTTACCTTATGTAGGCGTTAGCATTAAGTCCCTGTTAGGTGATTTTGCAATAAATGTTACTTTCTCTAGGACAGGCATATAGGAAGTGATTAGCTTATTTGCTTGTCTGTAAATTAGTATTAGTATAATACTTAATTAAGTATCTAAATTTAGTCTAGTCTTCTAACAAACTTAAAATTCCATGTCAAAACATTGTAATGTAATAATAAAGCAGGTAGCACTTGCACACTTATGTAAGCAAGTAATTACGTGCTAAGGTAGGTGTATTATTAACCTCAATTTACAGATGAGGAAGCTGAGGTAGCAGAATGGTGCCCAGGAAGGCACAGCCAGTGAGCGCCAGGGGTCGTCAGGTTCCGGAACCGCGCTCACCAGCTCTGCCCTGTGCTGACCTAAGTGTCCAGAGGAACCGCTTCTGCAGTCATTCTGGGCTAAGACTGAGATGAAGCATGAAACACAAAACTAAAACTCGCGCTGACTTACTGTGTTTGCCGGGAGTGGGCCACGGTATAGCCGACCTGGCCCAGAGGGAAGTGCCCTGTAACTTTCTACGTTAGCTGCTGTTACTCATTCACATGTCAGACAAAGGTGATGCACACTTAGCACAGGACTTGACCGCGTCGCGTACAACACAGTGGCAGAGAGAGAACGTGGACCAAGCAAGCGTGTAGAGACGGGTTGCCCAGAGACGCGGCAGGAGCGCGCTGTCCTGAGAGGCTCCTGGGAGCGTGCTGGGCCGCAAGGCCGAGTGCTCCAGCTTTTAGACTGTATTTGCTTCCCATTCATAGGGTTTTTTCCTTTGCCTTTGTTTAAGGAAAATTTGTGCTTCTAAACTCTGCTTTTCACCTAAAATATTTTCTTTCCTTTCTCAGTTTTTATTTTTTATATTTGGTATAGGGTGTGTGCACTCGCGAGAGAGAGAGGGAGAGAGAGACAGAGAAAGTCAGAAAGCTATCCCGAGGGTGGGGGGGTGGGTGGCCACTCCACAATCCTTTGTCCTCCATTTCTTCCTCTCAGTATTTTGGGCATGCATGCACATGGTGCCTGGCATGATTTTTATTTGTTTATTTCTTTTTTCTTTTTTTGGAGAGATTTTTTGTTATAGGGCTCCTGCACTCGCCAGAAACACAGAAAGAAACAGACAGAAAGCGAGAAATCACCCCCCAGGGGATGGCCATGCTGCAATCCCTTCTCCTCCATTCTCTTCTCAGGATCTTGGGCACGCACGCACACACGCCCGGCGTGAGTTTAAGCCACTGGGTCCAAGACTCGAACCCCAGTCGACTACATGGGAGTCCGGCGACATAGCCATTACACCGACTGCTGGTCCTGTGCCTGGCATGATTTTAAAGCCACTGGTTTGAAACTCACATTGCATAGTAGGCCACGTGGGATCCAGCACCTTAACCTCCGTGCCACTTGCTGGCCCATACAAGTGGCAGATTTTTTTTTTTTTATTTCATGTGTGTGTTTATTTTATTTTATTATTCTTAAAATTTTTTTACATATTCCATCACTGTATCATCAATGTATGCAATGTGAATTTTCCCAGGATAAATACACTGTTTATGAGTGCAATCAAAGATATTATCATACATGTTATCACCAGCAGATAATTTCCGGTTTTGTGCCCCTTAAATGTTTGCTTCTCTCCCCCTTTGATCCCCTCCCTCTCCCCCACGTGACCATGTAAAAGAGAGACGGAGAGGAGAGAGAGTGAGTGAACTCCCGCCCGTCGGCGGCGGTCGGCCGTACCGTAGCTCCTCCACTCTGCTCTCCTCTAGGACTCCTGGGCATGCAGGCGCCTGGTGTGATTTTCAAGCCATCAGCTATGTGGGGGAACGGCCATGCCAACTGCTGACCCCAAGGTCACTCCTTTTATGTTTTGTTGGTATGACATGTCCTAGGTGATCACATTTTGTAGGTGGGATCTTTTATTTCTTTAGTTCAATACACATAAGGAAAATCACAGAATTATTCTTTTTTTTTTTTTTTTAAGAGAGATTTTTTTGCTATAGGGCATGTGCGCTCACTGGAGAGACAGAGACAGAAAGTGAGAAACCACCCTCTCCAGAGGGGTTGGCCACCCCACAATCCCTTCTCCTCCATTCTCTTGGGATTTGGGGCCTGGAGTGAGTCTTAGTTGCCAGGTCTAACCATTGTCGACTACGCGGTAGTCCAGCAATGTAACTAGTACGCCATCTGCTGACCCCGCCAAATGATAGGATTTTAAAAAGCATAGATTTATAGTGCCTTATAGGATTAAAAGTAGCTTTTCTTCCTTCCTTCCTTCCTTCTTTTTTTTAAAGACAAGGTCTTGTGGGGCTGGCAGGTGATGTGGTCGCTGAGGGCACTCGACTCCCATGTGACTGACTGCAGTTCGTGTCCTGGACCTGGCTGGCAGGTGATGTGGTCGCTGAGGGCACTCGACTCCCATGTGACTGACTGCAGTTCGTGTCCTGGACCTGGTGGCTTGCTTTCTTATTTTCCCTTTCTCTCTCTCTCCCTCTGTCTCTCGCTCTGTCCCTCTCTGGCCGAATTAAAATAAATGAATGAATGAATAAATAAATAAAATTAAATAATTCTTTAAAAAAAGAAAGACAGGGTCTTGCTTATCGCAGTCTGTCTGCCTCAGCCTCCGGGCTGGGGCTGCAGGTGCACACCACTGTGCTTGCCCTTTATGCTGAACTGGGAATCAAACTTGGACCTCCCACATCACCCCAGCCTGTGGAGCACAGCATATTTTTAGTGTTTGCCACTGTAGCTGGGCCTAAAAGTAGCTTTTCAGATAAAGATTTTATCTTACCTTGTTTGAAAATTAAAAATAAAGCTTAATGAAGCAGCAGCAGCAGCAGCTTTTGAATTTAAGTAGCAATCCTTGGGGGTTTCTTTCTTTCCTCTTGTGTTGTGTCTACACTAATCTCGTATTTAATCCATCCTGCTCTGTTGAGGCCTGCTTTAATAAAATGCAAACTGCTTTATTAGCACAGCAGTGCTCCCGTGCTTACTGCTTGCTGCCCCCACGCGGTCATCTGGTTGAATTGGAATTTCCTTTCCTTTCATTCCTTTTCTTAAGTTTCAAAGAATATTTAGAAGGCACAATAAATGGAGGCTGTAAATTTCTCTGTTTTAAAAATAAGCTTGTTTTTTTTGGGGGGAGGGTATGTAAGATTAGATGATGCCAAAAGATGAATATCTCTTCTCATGAAATCAGTGCTGAATTTACTCTTCTATCTTGTGACTCTGATCTGTCAAAGATCCATTCAGAGGTGGTTGTCTCTTTTCTTCTCTCCTTATTGTGCTTTATCTTCTTTTCTAGATTGGTCAGGTGAAGCAGGAGCTGTCCAGAAAGGACACAGAGCTGCTGGCCCTGCAGACAAAGCTGGAGACACTCACGAACCAGTTCTCAGACAGTAAGCAGCACATCGAAGTGCTGAAGGAGTCCCTGACCGCAAAGGAGCAGAGGGCTGCCATCCTGCAGACCGAGGTGAGAAGGCGCCTGGGCCCTGGGCCGGCTCCGTGGCACCTTCGCGCTCGTGTCACCTGCCGCTTTGTTGTTTAGAGTGGGAGGACGAATATTTCGCGATGGATTCTTTAGCAACAGCAATGCGATGAGTTACCGTGCTGAGATCTCGTCCCAGTGTTTCTGAGGTCTCATAAACCACTGGGCCACCAGGAAAGTCCTAATGCGTTTTCTCAGAAATAAATACGTGGCCCAGTAACACTGGTGCAGCTGACTGAGGTTTTCAACACTAAAAAGAAAAAACAGTTTCGAACTTTCATCAAAATGTATTCGAAACAAACGTTATAGTAAAAGGATGAGTTTAAAAAAGAAATCATTGATTTCGAAGCTGTCATTGTGGTAAATCCTTCAGTCTTGAATGTGTGCTTGGTTGCTCTGGGTTACGTTTGGTGCTTTTAATCTTTGGTATTATGAATAGCTTGACATTGGCAAACATCAGAACCTATAAATATTCTAATAGACATAAGTGTGAACCATAGATCATTAGACAGTGTTTCTTCATATTTGTTAGAAATCTTAGAAGTTTGTGTAGTTTGTTAGCCCTGACTTCAGGTAGTAATACACAAAATAATCCAGATAGATTCTCATCCATCATATTTCCAGTGATCAAAAAGAGGGAATTGATGTCATTTGAATTTATTGCCTTAATATACATTTGTGTGTGTGTGTGTGTGTGTGTGTGTTTGGAGAGGTTTTTGTTATAGGGTTCACGTGCTCACCAGAAAGACAGAGAGACAGAAAGTGAGAAATCTTCCCCCGGGGGGATGACCACGCCACAATCCTTTTTCCTCCATTCTCCTCTCAGGATCTTGGGCACATACACACATGTGCCCGGCATGAGTTTAATTAAGCCACCGGGTCTGGGACTCAAACTGCAGTCAACTACTTGGGAGTCCAGCAACATAGCCGTTATGCCAACTGCTGGTCCTGATATTTTTTAAGGATCATAGTGAAATAGGTAATTTAGGTAGCAGTCATTAAGTAGTTCTTTATTCCTCGTTGTAGAGGAATAAAATGTGTGATATAGGTTAGTTGTTTTTTGTTTGTTTGTTTGTTGTTTGTCAAAGTACTGGGTTACAGATGAATAAAGGCATTGTTTGGTGGAGAAAAGGAATGAGGAGGAAAAGGAAAGAATACAAACACCCTGGTTCTAGCAGAGCAGAATCTCCCAGTGAGGAAGAGTGGGAGAAGACGTGGGGAAGGGCAGACACTCCGCGTAGTGCCTTCACCTGTGCAGCGTGGCGCTGTGTTGAGCATGAGAGGTTGGAAGGCGTGTACGCGTCTTACTTCTTCTGTTTTAGTCGTGTCTCACTTGACCACAGTGGGCCCCTTCTCCCTGCAGAGGGCTGGAGTAGAAGGCCGCGGTGCAGCAGTGGTGAGGGCCGCAGCTCTGAGCCATGCTGTGTTCGCAGGCCCGCTGTGCCGTGTCCCACCACGGCGGGGAGAGGGCAGTGCTGTGGTTCCTGCGTCTGTCACAGTTAAGCTCGTGTACTCACACTGGTGCCTGGCGCATGGTGGCGTCTTCTTGTACATCGCCATTGTGGTTACCGTTACAGTTCTTGTGCCGACGTCGGGTAATACATGGCAGGGACCGTGAGGCTGTTAGGAGAGCGTCGCTGGCCTTCTCGTTCACCGGTGTGAGTTTTAGTCACAGGTCTGCTCTTGCATTTATACTTAATTTGTTTGGGCATGCATGGGCTCAACGAGAGAGGGGAAGGAGAGAATGTGGAAAAGCACCGCCCCGTGGGAACAGTCATGCCATAATCGCTTCTTCGTATGTCCCTCCCGCCTGGATTTTGGGCTTGCACACGCATGTACCCAGCGTGTTTCTCGAGCCACTGGATCTGGGACTCAAACTGCGTAGTCGGCCACGTGGGATGCAGCCGCCGTGACCACCACGTCACCAGCCGGCCCTTTCACAGTTTTCTTAGACTAAGCCTAGGCTTATGCAGGGGATTACAGATAGGAAATCATCTGTAAAACGTTACCTGCAAAGTCATTCGCTTTGTGGCTTTCCTAGAATATAGTGCGAGTTCTTCACTTCAGTGACTTGTGCGCATGCAGTACTAGAAACGGGCCAGAAGAGGGTGCCAGTGTTCTGGAGGACGCTCCCGAGTTCGCAGCTGTAAAACTCTGAGCGATGCGGCAGGTGTGGAAGCCAGAGGATCAAGCAATTGGCTAATGATAATGAAAACATGTAGAAGCTTGTCGCAGTCTAATAAATGACTCTTCCCCTTGGCAATCCGTCCTTCTCTGTGTACCACTCCCAAATAGTGTCCTTGCTCGCTAAGGCTCACACAGATGGGCTTGTGATTGGCTTCTTGTACACAGAGCGTAAAGGCTGTTTGTTGTCATTCTTGAATGGTTTTCATATATGTGGGAGTAACTGGATCTTGGTGACGCCCTCTGAGTTAATAGGACCATCTCACCCTAGAAGTCTGGGCCGACTGTGAGAAGGGGTATGCCCGTCTATAGCCCTTACATGCTAAGTCACTCTGCTGACACCTGTCGGGATGTCCTTTCTCCACAGCAGCTTCTGTCACTGCAGCCAAGTAAAAAGCTGTAGCTGCCCTTGGACTTCGTTCTAACAATCACGTCTCTAAATGAAGTATATCTGAAAAGGAACGTGGATCATGGAGTTAAAAAAATGTTTAAAGCATTACTTTATTTAAGTTAGTTTATTTTAATTTGACCAGAGAGGGACAGAGCGAGTGAGTGAGAGAGAGAGAAAGTGAGAAAGCAAGCCGCCAGGTCTGGGGCTTGAATCGCCATCGGCCAGGTGGGAGTCTAGAGCCCTTCACCACACCACGCCACCTGCTGGCCCTGGATCATGGAATTAAATTTAAAAAACCAATGTTAATCTTCTCTAAGGAAAGGGTATGAGGTGAGACCTGGCCTTGCCCTAGTGGGGTGTGTCCCGGGAGCCTCGGTGCTGTGCAGGGGCAGTGTGGGCGGGCAGCTCCTCCGTGAGCACCCCCTTTCCTCTGCCGCCCTTCCCGAGGACTGAGCCCTGTACCATTGCAGTCACAGGCCTGGCCTTTGCGGGCAGACCTAAGCGTGGAACCTTGCCCTCTGTGTTTAGTAGGTGTGCGACCTCCGATTAAGTGACTTTGTCTCATTAAGCTTGCATTCCCTCATCTGTAAACTGAGGATAATGATAATACCAACTTTTCAAAATTTTTATCACTAGAATAGGTGTTTAATTAGGTAGTTCTCATTAGAATGTAGAAGGGAATTTAAACTCAGTGGCTTAAAAAATGTTAAAACACTTCATAGTTGGCATCCTTTTTATTTGATTTTATTGCTGTTTTATTTTCCCTTCATAGTAATGGTCTGGTTTAGGCAAGATAAGTATTATTGTCTTGCTCCTGTAATTGAAAATTGTTAGGTTGGTGCAAAAGCAATTGCAGACCGTGCATTTTAGGCTCAAACGCATCTTTATTAACTAAAACAGGAACCATTACAATCAACACTTTTTTAAAACTTTATTTATTTACTTATTTATTTAATTTGACTAGAGAGGGACAGAGTGAGAGAGAGAGAGAGAGAGAAAGAGAGAGAGGGAAAGTGAGAAAGCAAGCCGCCAGGTCTGGACTCAAACCATGATCGTCCATGTGGGAGTCCAGCGCCTTTAACCACCGTGCCACCTGCTGGCCCCCAGTCACCACATTTCTGCCAATGACAATAAGCTTGTTCATTTCTGTAGTGTCAGAGTCCACACAGCAGGCTTCTGTGACCTCTTGGGAAGCATCTTCTGCATCCTGCTGGCTGTGGAAGTGTTTCCCTGCAAAGAGTTGTCGAGGTGCTTGAAGACGTGGTGACCAGTTGCTGGGAGATCAGGAGGGTATGGCAACGAGGCCGAACTTCACAGCCCGATTCGCTAACTTCGAAGCAGTGGCTGTGTGACCTGCCGGGGTGCTTTCTTAGACAGTTAGGCTCACTCGCTCTTTTTTCTTTCTTTCTTTTTTTCAAATGAGAGATTTTTGCTATAGGGTACATGCGCTTGCCAGAGAGACAGAAAGCGAGGAATCACCCTCCAGGAGGGATAGCCACACTGCAGTCCCTTCTCCCTCATTCTCCTCTCAGGATTTTGGACATGCACGCACACGCACCCAGTGTGAGTTTTAAGCCACCAGGTCCAGGACTCGAACCACCGCCGACCATGTGGGAGTCCAGTAATGTAACCATTACTCCATCTGCTGGTCCCAAAATGGGCCCGTTTGTTGCCCAATGCCAGCAGCAGGCGTTGCAGTTTTTGGTGCATCCTATTGGTTTGCTGAGTGTACTTCTCAAATGTAATGGTTTTGCTGGGATCCAGAGAGCTGTAGTGGGCCACACACCACCAAATAGAGACCATGGCCTTCTTTTGGTGCAAATTTGGCTCTGGGAAGAGCTTTGGAGCTTCTTCTCTGTTCAGCCACTGAGCTGGTCTTCACTGGTTGTCATATAAAATCCATTTTTTGTCACACATCACAATCTGATCAAGAAATGGTTTACTGCCTGTTATGTAGAATAAATAAAAATGTTAAATTTTTAAAATTTTTATTCAGCTCACGAGGCACCCATTTAGTGAGCTTTTTTACCATTTTTTTTTTAAAGAATTATTATTTTTTGAGAGGTTTTCACCTTAGAGTGTGTGTGTGTGTGTGTGTGTGCGTGCTGGAGAGAGAGACAGTGACAGAGGGAAAATGAGAAGCCACCCCCCAGGGGGTCAGCCATGCCCCCACCCCTTCTCCTCCACTCTCCTCCAGGGATCTTGTGCATGCATGCACGTGTGCCCGGTGTGATTTTCAAGCTACTGGGTCCGAGACTCAAACTGTGGTCAGCCATATGGGAGTCCAGCGACATAACCACTACACCATCTGCTGGCCCTAATAATGATTTAATTTCATTAATTATTAATATTATTACTTACCTTGACCAGTGAGAGACAGAGACAGAGAGAGAGAGAGAGAAAGAAAGTG